AAATCGGACGGGCACTCACGAGAGCGTCCGCCGACCGGCTGACACTCGCGGGGCGAAGGGGTCCGCGGCGGTGCGGAGGAGATCGGGAAGGTGTTGTTCAGCCACGAGTCCAGGATTCTCACCCCCGGAGGCGGTGCCATCTCGCCCGGGGGCGCGGGGCCACCCGCGAGCCCATCGCCGGGACACTATCATCCCCCTGCGCACAGTCCGCCCCTGGTCAAGGTAAGGCCTCTTGTTTTCATTTCGGGGGGATGTCGAAAAAAAAAAGAAAAAAAAATTTCTCGATTCGAGAAAAATCCCCACGTGAAACGCATTTGAAGCATTCGATCAGAAAGATTGTCAATGATATTAATAATGAGTGCTAATGAGGGATTTTCGGTAAAGTAATTGTCGCGAAAGTTTAATTGTCATCGTCATTTGATTATCTTAATGTGTTTACTACGATTCATTCAGTTCAATTATGGATTTTTTACAAGAAGATGTCTTATAATTCTGAGTATTCAATCTTATCATAATGTGATAAAGTGAAAGCTTATCAGTGTGGCTGTTGCTGTTCTGTTACGTATTCCGCTTTCATACCAGGTATGCTGAATCACACACTCGGTCTCGCGAATACTCGCGAAGAAATGAATGAAACACGAGTGCTATTTATTAAATTATTCATTTTGTCAGCGTGACAGATAACGAAGAGATTGAAACAATTGAATAATAGCGGGATGATTACAAGCGAGAGCACTGTTTTATCTGTAACTAATGCATTTCGGACGTCCGGCTTTTGAAGCAATATACATATATTACTTAAATCCCATTCGTACAGGATATCTATCGGCAAAGTTCTTGCAATGAAGAAATGTCACTTAACGCGTTCGATGGAAGAAACACGGAGACATATTGAAAAACACATTCAAATTCTAAGAGAGAAATTTATTTATTTATAACGAGAATAATAGCTAATTATTTCACACAAATCGTCGAAAATTAAGGTGGACTTGTCAAACTGTCTTTATTAAACACATCTTGTTTATTTTAACTTAATTCGAATTGCCATTTTATTTTACATGTAACTAATGTTTTACGTTAAACGCGCTGAGAAATTATTAATTTCGTATATGTTAGAGCTCCAAGTTCGATCGCTGCTTCAAAGTCGATCAGAATTATCCTGTCACGTTCAAGTGGCCTGCTAGGGTAGAACGAACGAACGTAACAAGGGTCATAATAATCATGCATTTATGTCATCATGTTAAATAATGAAAATAAATGTGATATCGATGATATTTCTTTTAGACTTTTCGCATTAACTTTAACATCGCTTCTCTCGCACGCTTGGCATTTCTATGTTTACGTTTATGAGACTGTAGCTATTCGTTGTATTCTTGCATACATATTTTTATATATTTTTAATATTAATTAATTATTTAAAAAAAAATCTTAAAAATATTTATTGTTGTTATGTCGTCTTATATTGCGCGCGCGTTCGCGCGAAACTCACATTGCGTTTGACTAGTATTATATGAGTCAGAAAATTATGTTAAAAATAACTTTCGACCATTATCGAATTATTTTAAAATTAACTATTAAGCATCGTACGTGTGCGAACTAGTACGTGACGTAATAAAGCTTTGAGTAGAAAATTGGTGTGATTTGTTCCCCGTTCTATTTTCCATAAATAGTTCGCGATGCGATCAGCATCCGCTTTAATGTATCGGGAATATCCATGGGGAACTTTTACTAAAAAAGTAATAATAAAAATAAGAAGAGTAATAAGCGACAACTATGTTCCCTTATAGAAATTTAATGCTGGAAGGTAGTAATTAATTAACTTATTTTGAGTATTAAATGCATCGAACAACAGTGTTTTTAATATTCAAAATAAGTAATTTCCAGTATTACAATGGCCAGTATTAAATTAAATTGAAAATTCCGTGTGAACGAAGAAAGAAATAATTTTGATTCAGCTATCCTTGTAATTTCAAATTCATTATTCAAATATCAGAACGATGTCGGAGGTTAAAAAATGAAAAATTGGTGGAATGCCATTAATAATATCGAAGTTGAAAAGATTACTTTGGATTATTTTGCCACTTGGCGACGGATTTAAATTTGCCTTTACAATTGGCAGCGTTCAGTATACTGTGGTATATTATTTTTGATTATATCAAAATGCACCTCGACGATTTCAAACGTAACTATTGTAATTGTCCACCGATACAATTTCGCTGCTTGCTGCATTATTAACCGTAAGTTAACCCCGCGGTATCCGTATTTGAGAGTTACGCACTTAAATTCATGGCGGAAACTTGTCAGCGATCACATTATAATCCAGGGATATATGTGGCAATTACGGCATTAGACCCGGGTAGCCGATAATTCCGTTTTAGGTTCGAACTTGACTTCGCTTGACTAATAGGATTAGAATTTGCGGCACGTTCAGGTGACCGTCTATTCTACATGCGCTCCGTTAAAGCTACGCTCATGCGAACGATCGGTTATATTTAATCCTATATACACGCGCCATCTCTTTACCCAATGTAATCGGCATGCATTTAGGCTTTATTAAAGCCTCACATTTGCGTGAAATTATTTTCTTTCAACGTACACTGGGATTAATTGCTGGAGTCAATCGTTTTATTACTGTTTGAATAATAATTAGTATGGAAATGAATGTGGTGTACAATAATTGATAGTTTTAGATCGTGTGTAAAATCAATTGCGATTCATCAGTTGTTGATTAAAGTATCATTGCTTTTTATTAAATTTTTTTATTACTTTTGTATCTATCTATAGAACAACTTTATTGTTATCGTGTTATTTTTAAATGAATTTTTCTAGCTAATTTTAAAGAGCAATTTTTCTTCTCAACGCGACGGAGATGATGTCTTCATTCGATAAAGGTTGAATTATCAACAACATTTCTCGTTCTCAATCAACCGCCGCATTTCCTTTAAATAAAATATTGAATGGCAAAGTGATATAGGTCAATGTTTTCGTGAGGAAATAGAATTAAATCTTGTAAAATTGTGCTCCTTCTCTTTCTCTTGAATGTCATTTAGAATGATAAAAAACTGACTTATACCACTGCATGCTCTGTAACTCTTTAAATCCGCCTAAATGAAATATCAACTTCCGTTCGCCACTACCAGTGCATCGAGCATTTTCTCCTTCGTTTTATCGGCGATTTCCAACCTCGCCAACCGACATGATCCGAATCCTCTCTTTTTCTCCTACCGCTTTCTCTCTCT